CAAAGCCAAAGCCACACTGAAGTTTATGAACTGAAGTCATTTTTTAAAGTGTCGTGACAATGTTTACAATGGTAAAGGGAGAAATGAAATGAGAAGTTTTAAGAAGTGCACACAGATTGAGGCAGACCACAATGGCCTTATCTGGGTTGACAAGTCTGGACTCCTCTGGCAATGGAAGCACTACTGAAGGAACCTGAGTGGCAGAAGAACTTTAGGATCCAAAAGGATGTTTCTGAAATATAAAACTAAAAGAAACATATATGATGTCTGATACATCTCCGAGAGCCACATGATGGTCAGAGGGAGAAGGTATGACCTGAGCACCAGGGGCCACACCTGCGATGACTAGGGCCGAGATAAAAAAGGCAGTAACAGAAGTGGAAAGCAGAGAGGAACACCAGGAAACCTTAACAGAGGAGGGACTTCTGAGACCTTCTGCTGGTGACTAAGCACTGACTAACGCTGGAGGAGTGCAGTAGGAGAGACAAAGAAAAATAGAAAATGAGAGGGAGGAATATGGAATTATTTCCAGGGCAACAGTGAAAATGATGGCACCACTAATAGAAGCAGAGGAACCGCGGAGATCTCTTGGTAAAAAGGAGCTCACATTTAGTCAGAATGAATTAAGATGGGCTCATCAAGGAGAAATGAGCCACAACCCACTGGAATACCACGACTGAGCTCTACTTTTAGATCTGAGATGACACCAGGGCAGCAGTTTTGTTTTAAAACTTTCCAGGTATTGCCATGTCAGGACTTCCAGAGGTTTAAAAGTAAATTCTCCTTCCATAAAATACTCATCCATCCCTTGTCCTGTAATACACAGTAACTATAAAAAAGAGCCATTGGTTTCTTTTTTAAAAAAAAATGTTTTTTTAGTTGTAGATGGACACAATACCTTTATTTTGTTTTATTTGTTTTTATGTGGTGCTGAGGATCAAACATGCAAGGCAAGCGCTCCACCACTGAGCCACAACCCCAGCCCAAATCCATTTGTTTCTAATGAGGAAAAAAAAAAATTTGAATTTAGTGCTATATAGCACTACTTATGTGTGTGTGTGTGTGTGTGTGTGTGTGTGTGTATAATGTACAACACCATTTATATATGTATGTATGTGTATATATATGTATATATATATATATGTATACATACACACATATATTTAAAATGAGAACTTTATATACTACTTGGAGAATGAATAAGTGTACATATGTAAATATGTATGTAAAATGAGACCCTTATGACATACTATTTTGAGAATACATAAGGAAATTGCTTTTTTAAAAACTTCATCATGTGGGGCTGGGCTTGTAGCTCATTAGTAAAGTGTTTGACTACCATGTGTGAGGCGCTGGGTTCAATCCTCAGCACCACATAAACATGAGGATATTGTGTCCACCTAACACTACAAAAATAAATATTTTAAAAAATTCATTATGTGGAGCCAAGCACAGTGGCACAAACCTGTAATCCCAACCTGGGAGCCTGAGGTAGGAGGATCAAAAGTTTGAGGCCAGTCTCAGCAACTTAGCACAGCCCTAAGCAACCTGAGGAAACCCTGTCTCAAAATAAAAAATTAAAAGGGTTGGAGAAAGAGCTCAGTGGTAAACCCTTCCTGTGCTCAATTAACTTTAAAGGGGGAAAAATCATTATTTGTGGAAAAAGTTGGGTGGTGGAGAGCAGTAAGCTGGAGATATAGTGCAATAGTAGAGATCTTGCCTAGCATTCATAGAACCCTGGGTTTGATCCCCAGCAGGCAGGGGTTGGGAAGAGGTGGGAGGATGCAGTATTTCAAGAGATAAAGTAAGTGGGATTTGAATTACACAGGCTATCTTTTGCTCCCTCCCTTATCCCCACCCCACACCAAGCTGCTCAAATAACTTAAGACTAAACTCTTGGCTTCTATTTCCCTGTCTATATGAACTAGTTCATGGCCTTTCCCCTACTTCCCCTGGTGGTTTGTACTGAAATAAGATATAAGTAAATGTGCTTTGCAAATTGTAAAATAGATTTACCAATGTAAAATATCATTATAATACTCAAACCTAGTATGCAGCTTTTGATTTCTCCAATTATTCTGCACACACACAAAAAAAAACAGGATTGGACTGAGGTTGTGTACCTCAGTGGTAAAGTGCTTGCCTTGCACATGAGAGGCACTGGGTTCAATCCCCAGCACCACATAAAAATAAAATAAAGGTATCGTGTCCATCTACAACTAAAAAAATATTTTAAAAAAAATAAAAACAGGATTACAGTTCTTGGCCTTAATCCGATCTTTCAATTTTATGTAAATATAACAACATTGTATCCATAAGTCAATGCGTACAAAAAGAAAACTATGCAATGCTAATATTTTATTGATCATGATTTTTAATCACTATTTTTAGAAATTCCAACTTCAAACCTAAGACTCATCTATGGAGCAATATTTTGAGTGGCAACCTTAACATTTCTGCTTAGTACTTCATTTTCCCTTCTCTTTAATAAACATCGGCCCACAACAACAATAATATGGAGATAATTCAATAATAATTTTTCTACTACTTGTGTATCTTAGTTCATCTTTATCTTAGTTTAAAAAAGAAGAAGAAATAAAAATAAGGTATAAAACAGTTCTATAGCTTGCATAAGATATTTGGACACTTTAAACTATAAGGGGCAGCAGTAAACTTCATAACTGTTGCTTGCTCACTAATTCTTCCTCCTATGCAGGAAAGAAATTCCTTAAATAGCAAACACCTTTTATTATGTGTTTTTCCCTCTTATTAGTTTATGATAACACCAAATAACAATAATAAATCCAACTAGCAATATAGTAAATGACATCCCATATACCTTGGATTCAATGCTTATTAAATTTAAAAGTGTGTTTCTACAAAATTAAGCATAATTTTAAAATTAATCTGTGTTTAATCTGAAAAGATAAGTAGAAACCTTTGTTTATATATATTTTATTCTTAAAAAAACTTCAAAGGGTTTCTATTTGCTTCATTTTTAAATTTAATTTTAATACTAGGGTTTCCTACTCTACTAGTAACAAAATTGCTGATGAATACTTTAAAATATTACATGAACTTAAACCCTATTTCAATTTTAGGTTACCATTAAAGGCCAACAGGTGAGATTATATAAACATATGAGGTCATATGATGTATGAAGTCCTAGTATATTCAATGATCATAATGACTGGCCAAAGATTAGCCACATGCCTTGCAACAGCAAATATCAATAGTAAATATTACTGTGTTTTCCATAATAATAATACTTAAAAGTGTGTCATCTTGTCAAGTATCCCTACACTGAACTCAAGGAAATTGTTGCAGAATATCTGCAAAACACTCCATCAGTTTTGAAGTATTTAAATGCTTGCTTTTCACAAAAGACACATTATACATTTAATTATCAGAAATTCTAAACAAATTAAATCTAAAGGTGCATCCTTAGAAGCAACTGAAATGTATTATACTGTCAAAGGATATGTACTTTAAAATATCTGTGAACAAAAATTTTTAAATGGTAAAACTAGCTAAAATGATGAAATCAAGAAGTAGCACTCTGGTAGAGAGTATTCTTAGCATATGTGAGGCCCTTTCATCTAATCTCTGGTATTCGCTCCTCCCCTAAAAAACATTACATAGAATGTGAAGTTGTAAATGCTATCTGAAGTTACTATCATTTTTACCACTTTGGAAAAATCTGTGCTCAGGTCATACAAGAACCACTGTGACTGGAAATGACAAACAAATCTAAGTCTGCTGCATGAAACAATGCCTAGTTTCCACTAACTGCATCCAATCTAAGTATTGTTGCAAAAGTTGTTATCAAAATGAATGATACTCAGTAACATTCAGAAAAAAAAAAATGACAAGAACAAATCCTAAAGAATATCCTAACAGTCACAGAAAAATATGTAGACCACCCTCAAATTAGGCATGAATGTATTGGGAAAATGGTCTTAAGTACTGACCATGCAAATTATCCTGTACCCTTCCTCCTAACCTCCCCAAAAAGGATACCTAACAGAGAAAACGTAGAAACAAAATTATGTTAAAACTTCTAAAAACTTAGATCCGAATGTACAGTATCCCTCTTGAAAAGATTTAAACATCATAACTTATGCAGTGAACACTCGTTAAATCAGTATTTCTAAGGCTAAAATGGGAGTGGAGTGGGGGTGGGGTGGGGGTGAGAATGATGTCAGTGTTCAGTAGAGTCAGAGACAATCTGCAATCCAATAATGAATATATAACTGTTTCAAATCCTGAGGGTCGTTGCAAAGCGGAACGTTGCCAATTTGAAAACATAACTGAATTACAAAAATAATGCAGCATTCAAGTGACCTGCAGCGAGTGAAAACTCAGCAAACACTCTTGTTCTTTCTGAACAATGACCTAAATAGTGAATCACTATAAAAAGCGCAGATGACACATTCAATTCATCTGTTCAACTCAAATGCTCAAATGTCTGACAGTCCCAAAGATAAGACACAATGAATTTAATACAACAATATGGTCACTTTAGTCATCAGAATGTCTGGAAAAGGAGTGAGAAGAAACAGAATCAGACTAAGAGGCGGAAAGAGTGGGGGAGGGCGAAAAGAATGGGTGTTAAATCTGTGAAGCAGAAAAGGGCTAACTGGTACAGGAGAAAAAGAAGTTGGGAGATGAAATTAACCAAAACAGAAGCTGGGCGAAGTCCGGCAGGACCAGTCTTTGTTGATTTCCCACTTTTCCTAAATTTTAAGAACAGATCTGCTTCAAAGCTCTCTCTCCTTCTGCCCCCAACCAATTTTAAGAGATGGAACTGGGTGTCGAGCGTTCACCCACTCAGGATATAAGCCACCCCGGAGTTGGTGTGGTTGGAACGCACAGACGCCGGGATCGTCTGGGATATCAGCCCGGGGGGTGGGGAAACGCAGGGTGGGTGCGCGGTGGGGGAGGGGGTGGGTGCGCGGTGGGGGAGGGGGTGGGCTCGCGTTCCAAGTGCCGCCACTTACGAAGACGCGCTGGGCACGAAGAAATCTACCGCGAAGCCGAAGTAACTTCCCTCCGGGCCAGAGTACTCGGCGGGACTGTCCACATCTAGGTTGAAGGCGCCGCAGAGAGGCAGTAGGAGTCCGGAGACAAGAAGCAGGAGGCGGCGGGAGCGAAGGTGCAGCCGCCGTCGCACGGGAGAATCCATAGCCAAAGTGCGCCCGGGACGCCGAGCCTGGAGCGGCGGCCGCCCCTCCCGGGGCGCACGGTGCCAGCGGCCCGCCGCCCGCGCGCGCCCAAACTTGTCGGCCGCTCGCTTCCCAGCCTGCCTGGGACAGCGCTGGGAGAGGCAAGGGGGCTGTTTCCAAGTGGCTGCCCTGGAAGTGGGGCGCAGGGTGCGCGAGGCGGGGGCGGCAGCGCGAGTGCCCCTCGTCTCCTCTGAGCTCGGCTCAACGCAGCGTCACGGGCTGGGGACTGCCAGGGTGAGCGCCGCACCTCGGGCCTGAGAGCTGCGGCGGGCAGTGGGAGGAGGCAGGGCAGGAGGAGGAGCCGGCTGGGGAGGCCGAGCAGCCCAGCCCCGGGAGGAAGTTGGAGGGGAAGAGTCGTTCTCCGACTGGAGAGAGCCAAAAGCACTTCCGTGCGCGCTGTCGCAGCCTGTCCCAAGAGCGGGGCTCCCGTGCCGTCTCAGTCCCTCAGAGCCCGGGTTAGCGGCAGTACTCCTTGACGATGGCCTCAAACCGAGAACGCAGAGTTGAGGTCAAGTGATGGTCAAGTGTCCTCCCGCGTTCACAGGAGTGGCAAGGCACCCCACGTCCCCAGGTGGTGCCAGGAACTTCCCTACGACTTTTAAGAATGCTGAAAGCTTTATACGCTTCTCGTATTTCTACTACTTAGCCTGGCAGACTCTCACCAGCGAAACTATAATTATTTGTCGTTTTCCTTCCCATTCCATCCCACACACAAACACTGAACATAATTATAAAGTTCCAGAGTGCTAGCACAGCCTCTCACGAGCGAGGTGTGTTAAAACGGAATTGCAGTGGCTGACAAAAAGATTGGTGAGGCAGAGAATCGGTAGTAATCGTTTTAAAGGAAATCAAAATAGTCGAATTCCCGGTTTGTTAGTTGAAGTTGTATAATTTCAGAAAACTGATTCGATGACTTTGGATAGACAGACTTTGAGAGCTGGAAGACGGAATATGCACCACAGAAACAAGGCCCCTGGTAGTTCCCTTGCTGTGGGCAACACTGGACTGAAAGACTTCTGCAGGACAAAAACCCTGACATTTTTCTTTGTACTACCAGTTGTTACCACTTTGCCAAGCAAATAATAAACAATAAAATGGCGCATCAGTGAATGAATGGCAGATAAAATGATGAGTAAATTTTGCTCAGAGAAGTGACTTCCCCATGTTGTGCATCACTTGTTAAAGAATTTGATGAAAAGGATAAAATATAAATAGGTTATGTGGATCTTACTTTACAAGTACTGGAACAGTAATTTCAAAGTTTTCCCTAGTGACTATTAAAACTCAATCATGGATCAGGTGCAGGGGCATGCTGCGTCCCTGCAAGCTCAGCATTTGGGAGGCTGAGATTGGAAAACCCCTTAAACTCAGGAGTTCAAAATCAGGCTGAACGGCACAAGGAGACCCTATCTCTGAAACAAATTAAAAAAAAAAAAAATCCTCAATCTCAATCACAATATGCATTAAAGTAATAACCAGTACATAATATATATGTATCTCCCAATTTGAAGTTTAAACATTATATTAAGTATCTTCATTTTAAAATTTTACTAAAAGATATGCAGCAAAGTATTTGGTATCTTTTATAAGTGATGCTGCAGCATCTCCCTAAAAGAAATTACCAAATGAGATAGAAAATCCTACTTGAATATTTACACATAAATACAAATACATCTTTCTCTTCACTGTTTCCTAATACATCCAAGAGTCCATGGATAGGTACACCTAAACTCTGGGATCTTTTATACCTTAAAAATCTGAGACCCTACCCACATGGAGGTCCATCCAGCTAGGGAAGGCAAAAGAGTTTAAAGTGAATCTAGCTGGGACCCATGGAAGTGTGCCAGTAATCCCAGTAACTCAGGAGGCTGAAGAGAGAGGATTATAAATTCAAGGCAGGAGGATTACAAATTCTCAGCAATTTAGCAAGATCCTATTTCAAAATAAAATATAAAAAGGGTTGGAAACTGGGTGTGATGGTGCATGCCTGTAATCCCAGCAGTCTGGGAGGCTGAGGCAGAAAGATTAAGAGTTCAAAGCCCAACCACAGCAATTTACTGAGGTCCTAAGCAACTCAGCAAGACCCTGTGTCTAAATAAAATATAAAAAGGGCTGAAGATATGGATGTTAAGCACCCCGGGGTTCAATTCCTGGTACCAAAAGAAAAAGGGTTGGGAATGTAACTCAGTGGTAAAGTTCTCTGAGTTCAGTCCCCAGTAACACACACACACACACACACACACACACACACACACCCCTGGCAAATTACAGTGTGGGTAGACCCAGTAAGCTTCCTCTTCCTCAATTTTTTTTCTTTTTCTTTCTTTCTTTTTTTTTTTTTTTTTTGGTACCAGGGCCTGATCTCTGGAGCACATTACCACTGAGCTACATCCCCATCCTTTTTAACTTTTTATTTTGAGACAGGGTCTCACAAAAGTTGCTGAGGCTAACCTCAAACTTGTGATCCTCCTGCTTCAGCCTCCCAGTCACTGGGATTACAGAGCACCACTGTGCCCAGCTCTCCTCTTCAACTCTTGATTCTAGGGTAGAAGTCCAACAAACTAGGGAAACATGAGGACCAGGGAAAGGGAGGAACCAAGGGAATGGTGATACAATGTGCCCACCAAAACTTAATAACACATCCTCAACTAGGCCTGCAAAATGCTACTAAAAGCAATTATTCTTTAGCTATTCTTTATGACTTTATTTCAAATTAAAGGCCTTGCAAATCAAGCATTTTGTATTAGAAGAAGAGGAGGAGGAGGAAGAGGAGGAGGAGGAGGAAACAACATGCATTTCTATTAGGAGACAATGAAATAGACTAACCCTCATCAACGAACCTGGGGTTATAAAGGCGGGCATCTTTGTGTGACCATGCTTGAGCAGTCATCCACACAAGTTCCTTGCAAAATGTTTTATAGAGCATATCAATTCAGCCAGCACTTATTCAAAGTCCACATTGTGCTGGGTACTTTGTGCATGGACAAGGAAAAAACATGTTTTGTTCTAAGGGGGGGAAAAGCAGTGCCCCACCTCCACCCCTACAGCTCTACTCTAAAATACATACACTGCAACAAGTTTCCATCTTAAAAGGAGAAGTGCCTAAGATAGCTACATTAATACTGACTGCTCTTTTTACAGAGAAAATAAAAATTTAGGTAATAAAAAAAATTTTGGTTTTGAATGTTACCCTCTACCTGTCTGTCCTTTAAAATTTTTGGTTTTGAATGTTACCCTCTACCTGTCCTTTAAAATCTGCTGTCCTTTAAAATCTTGTGTAAATTCAAGTGTCTAGGTTCAATGTTTGGCTTCACCAAGTTCTAGCTGTGTGACCCTAGGAAAATCAATCCAACCATTCTGTCCCTCAATTTTATTATCTAAAATGGAACTAATAATTGTACCTATCTATTAGAATTGAGCAGTATTCATTGCCACTAATACTCAGTGCAGTAATAATAGTTAATCTGGATGATTGTTATCATACTGTATTAGTACTGCTACTATTTAGCCAATGCTTCCTTTAATGACCATAATCAAACTGAGGCTCCATTTGGCTTTCCTTTGAATACAAAGGAGCTCAGTTCAGTTACGCCAAGATAATCTTAGAGAAATTTCAAACTTTTATTTCTTAAATAATAGCAAGGGAAACTGAGCTTATAACCCACAGAAACATTTCTGAAATGCCTATCTAACACCCTGCATTTCTGCAGAATCTTTAATTCATGAACCCAGTTCCAGAGTTTGTATTGCTTTCTTTGTTTGTTGAACTCTCTCCTGCCTCTCCACTCCCAAATATTTATTAGGAAATTGGCATGGCCTCTCTCTCTGCACCTCTAGCACCAGTGCTGCTTTTTTCCTACCTGGAATGTATCAGAAAACATCCCAACCAGTATCATGATCCTTAGATGAGTGGTAAACAAGAAAAGGCAGTCAGGAAACTTGTCTCCTTTCTGGACCTTTTACCTAAACTACCCATCTGAGTACCTGTCCTTGATTCACTGCATTTCTCAAGCCCTGGGTGAGCTTATTTATTATTGAGCTCTCAACTATCACTTATTAACACTCCAGCTCACAAAAGAGCTTTAGCTGTATTAAATTGCCTACCGTTTTTCCAGAGCACCATCTTTGTTCACAGAGCTCCATCTTCCTGGAAAACATTAGCCTCCCTCTTTAACCACTTCCCTCAGCCCCATCCTCTGTCACATACAAACCTACACAATCTCCTCCACCTGGCGCTTCCTAGTTCCTGCTCTTCTTTCTAGACTCACATCAGACATCCTCATGTCCTCCAGGAAAGCTTCTCTGAGTTGTCTTTCTATCCTTTGAGCTCCACCTGGGGCCTTAGGAATTACTTCCATTGTCCAGAGACTTAATAATAACTAACATTTCCATTTAACTACTCACTTTATGTTGGGCATTGTGCTAAGCAATCTTTGCATATACTAAGGTACTTTGTCACAAGCCTTATCAGATAAGTTCTATTAGTATTCCCAATTTAAAGGTGAAGAAATTGATTACTTAAAAGATGAAATAATTTTCCAAAATCACAAAGCTAGTGTGGCATAAATGTTTACAATATCAAAATAAAGAAGGACAATATATTTAAAGTAATCTGAGAATTTACTTAACAAAGTCTTCTTTCCCTAAATCTATCTGATCCCGCCCCCACCCACTGAGGATTAAACCCAGGGGCGCTTTGCCACTGTGCTATATTCCCTGCCCTTTTTATTTATTTTATTTTGAGATAGAGTCTTTTTAAGTTGCCCAAGCTGGCCTTTAACTTGCCTTAGGCTCCTGGGTCACTGGAACTACAGGAGTTTACCACCTCACCCAACTTTATTTGAATTTTTTATAGCATATATATTTTTTTTGTCTATAAGAGGTCTTAATCAACTGGGCACAGTGGCACATGCCTATAATCCCAACAGCTCAGAAGGCTGAGGAAAGAGGATTTTGAATTCAAAGCCTATCTCAGGAATTTAGCAAGGTCTAAGCAGCTTAGTGAGACCCTATCTTTAAATAAAATATAATAAAGATATTCAGGATATGGCTCAGTGGTTGAGTGCTCCTGGGTTCAATCCCCAGTACCAGGGGAAAAAAAGTCTTAATCAAATTTTGTCATTGTTGCATTCATCAAAATAAGTTCTAAGTGCTATGTTTGTCCAAGAAGTCATGAAAGTAGACCTGGATCGATGTTTTTATTAAAGACTAAAATTGGTGG